TTTTTTTTTTTTTTTTTTTTTTTAGAAAAAGTAGTTTTTATAGTATAATATTAAAAATAAAATGTAATTCCAAAAAATGTTAGAACCTGTTCTACAATGGTACCCTAAAAACAAAGGATGTTGGTACTATTTGTCATTGTTATAATCTTATGACGTGCCATGATGTTATGCTTACATTTGTGATAAATGTGTCTTACTAGTTTTTATAAAGATTGAGCCATAAGAAACTTGAATTAGTATGATTTATATTTGATTTTTGAGGTCTCAATTCGTAACCATGAGTTTCAAGAAGCTTTATTTTTATAAGTAGCACTGTACTCACAAACTGGGTACAAAATACATTGTTGATTTCAGGTACAATCGCAATCTGTTGACCAACTGTGTTGATGGATGGGTTATATTCAACGGCCACCAGACAGAAGAGACTGAGCATCGGAAGAATGGGCGAAACCCCTCACAAAGGAAGAAGTAGAATATGCGAGAGCCTTATCCAAGGAAGAGTAGGACATGGCAAGATCATCAAAACCTTCAAATCCACCGCCTGAAGTATCTATAGAAGCCATCTCTGGCATGGGAGTATCGCCTTCCAAGTACTGTACAATTTGGCGCATGCTTGGCCTCGCCATTGGGTTGGATTGAGAAGACAACAATCCAAGTTTCAGAACCATTTCCATTTCCTCTACTACATAATCTGATCCCAATTTTGGATCCTTGGCGTCGACAATGGCTCCTCTCGCCCAACATAAAAACACCCAATCCAGCAGTATTACATCTTCTGTCATTCCCCGAATCTCTATTGGCCTCTTTCCTGTTGCAACCTCCAGCAGAAATGCCCCAAAAGCATACACATCCATGTGGGTCGTCGGCCTGCCGGATCTGATGTGTTCTGGAGCCAAATATCCGAGCGTTCCCACTATGTGTGTTGTTTGAGGGTCTGTTCCATGGTCATACAGTCTCGCCAACCCAAAATCTCCCAATCTTCCGTTTAACTCACTGTCTAGCAAGACATTACTGGCTTTGACATCTCTGTGAATCACAACTTGCTCCCATTCTTCATGAAGGTAAAGCAGCCCCGAGGCCACCCCTTTGATGATTCGAAACCTCTGGCTCCAATTCAGACTAGGATTTGTTTCGCCAAACAGGTACTTATCTAAACTTCCATTCTGCATGTAATCATATACTAAAAGCAGCTCTCCTTTTCGTCTGCAGTAGCCTAAAAGCTGTACAAGGTTTCTGTGTCGAAGCCTCCCAAGACTAACAATCTCAGCCACAAATTCTTTCATTCCCTGCCTTGATTCATGAGAAATCCTCTTGACAGCGATTTCAAGTTTTGATTTTGGTAATACCCCTTTGTAGACTCGTCCAAATCCGCCAGAACCCAGAACCTCTTTCTCTTTAAATCCGTTTGTAGCCACGTATAAGTCTTTGTATTTGAACCTGTGAGGCCCATAATCAAGCTCCCAGTCCTCGAGCAACTCGGCGAACTTCCTCTTCCTTCTGACAACATGAACAATGCCTAAAATCACCAACAAAATAACCCCTCCAGAAATTAAAGGCAACCCAATTGTTAAAAACTTGGATGTTTGTTTTTTCCGAGGTAGCTTTGGCAGGTGGGAAATGTCAAGTCTTCGAGCCTGCCCGTTTAATCTGAAACTCCATCCTAAAACATAATGAGAAGTTGAAACCGAGCCAGTGGAGGATGAAAACCCGACGAACATGGAGCTGTTGTTTATGACAGATGAAAGGTCACGAGAGTAAGACAAGAGTGGAATTTGGGGTTTGGGTATGTTGATTGGCGCCAAAGTGACGTTGATTTCTTTGTGGATACCATCATATTCGACCCAAACCTGCATTGGTTGGCCACTTATAAGAGTCAAATTTCTTAAAGTCCCATTGTTCTCGGGATAAAATCCAGCAGTTGCAGCTCTCTCAGAGGTCAACCCATTTATATCTATGCCAACGTGATTCGCATCGATATCTTTCAACTCTAAATTCTGAATTGTGTCGAGCTCTACGGCAAAAATATGGTTGCTTGTGTTACCGTTGTTGCCGTCATTGAAAAGGCCAAGATGCTGACTTGGCTGAGCTCCGGGAAAAGTTCTCGTCGGAGCCACCACAAAGGCAATTCCATGGCCGCTTAGATTTGGGTATTCAGATATAATGGCAAAGACGAAAGTGGTTGAGAAGGACGAAACGCCATAAGAGGAATTGACAAAATTTACAGGATTAGTATAAAACCCATGGCCAATTCTTTGCCTGGTCTCGTTGGTCAGTTGCAGGAGGCCATTTGGGGTAACAACAGCCATCCCATCGAGTGATAGATTTGCAGATTGGAAGCCATTGAAGATGAAATTAGGACCTTCAGAAGCAGCTGAGACTACTAAGGCCACAATCAGGCACACCACAATTGAGAGCTTGAAAAACATGGTTTTTTTCATCTTTCTTCACAAGGGTCGATAAAAAATACAGGCTACAGCGATGAGGAAGTAGCAGGCCTCCATAAAAAGATGCTCATTCGGAGGTAAGCAATTTCTTTCAAACATCTTCTTAGGTTATTTTGAATTTTTGAGCTGGTAAGTTCCACGGATTCTGAATCTGTGGAGTCTTCATATCAATATAAGGCTCACCGTTGAAGAATTCCTGATCAACTAACTAAAGTAATAGAAAAATTAGACGAAGAAAGAGAAATCCACATTTTAAAAACCTTTAAATCCAATTGAATCTTATCGTTTTAGATGTACAAGTCTGTGTATCGAATATAAAATTTGTTGGAAGGTCTCCTTGATAATGAAGTAAATATTGTCAATTTGTTCAATTCAGGGTTTAAGAATAGGCATTTAAAAATGGTCCTATAAAAGATATATATTAAATTATTAGGAAGAGTAGTCTCGTATTAAGTAATTATATCTCCATTAATAAAAGGTTTTTTTAAAGAAACTAAGTGTTTTTTTTTTTATTAGTATTATTTGCTAGATAGATATAATATTAGTTATTTAACTCGGAGGTCAAATATACTAAAATATTTCAATTGCCATAAAAAAAAATTTAAAAGTTAAAATTCCAAAAATTTAGAAGTTAAAATTCCAGGAAAAATGATAAATAAATGCGTACATAATAATTTTGTGCATAAATATCGATACAAAATACTGAAATTATAACTACTCATGATTTTGTAGACTAGAAAATGGAGAAAAGGGAAATAGTTCTGAAATTAGAGAGCTTACCTTAACAGAGTCATTATTGGGCTCTCCACGACAAATTAAATCAAATCCAATCAAATTCCCCTTTCTTTTCGAACCAAAAGATGAAAAAAATTAATGGAACAAGGAGGATTTCTGGAAAATTTGAAGACTCCACTTTTGGGCGTCTGAGAGAGAGAGAGAGAGAGAGAGAGAGAGAGAGATAGAGAGAGAGGGAAATATGAGATGGGGAGCGAAGTAGAAGATTGGAGAGGAGAAAGGAGGAGGAGGAAGAAACTAAAAGTCAAACTTGGTTTACTAAGAGCCTTCTTTCTCATACATCTTAAATTAAGATGAATCATTAAAGTTATGTGTAAAAAAAGTGAAAACTCGTTAACCTTGAAAGATATTTGGGTTATGAGGATGGGAAACAAAAAACCAATCATATCTTACAACTCTCAGTCTCTGCCATTGAGAAGCGAAAGAGGAGAAGTGGAAAATGAAGCAAAACTCATATCCGTATCCATATTATTATTATCATTTCCGGTACGCGAATGCGAGCATGTTGAAGCAAACGAATTCACAAAATCATCGAACCCTTCCCCGTTCTTCCCTCCCTCCACCACTTTCGGTGCCGATATCTCCTCCGGCACTCCATTCTCCCCCTCCAAATACCGCACCACCTGCCTCATACCCGGCCGCCCCGCCGCCGAATCGTTCGAACAGAACAACCCCAATTTCAATATCATCACTGCCTCCACCGCATTGTAATCCCCTTTCAGTTTTGGATCCATTGCTTCCATTAATCTCCCTTCCCTGTAATTCTCCCACACCCAATCCACCAGCACCAGCTCCTCCGACCGAGATTTTGGGTCGATCGGTCGACGTCCGCAGGCCACTTCCAGAAGAAGTGCGCCGAAGGCGTACACATCTGAGCTAGTCGTGGCTTTCCCTGTTCTGTGTAGCTCCGGCGCCAGATATCCCAGAGTTCCCACCACCCGAGTCGTGCTCGGGTTCGCCCCGTGTTCATATAGCCGAGCCAGGCCGAAATCGCCCAGCTTTCCATTCATCTCGCTGTCGAGCAGGACATTACTGGCCTTCACATCTCTATGAATCACCACCTATGTTAAAACGACACGAATAAACGGTTTAGTTCAGCCACTTATTAGCTCTTCAAAAATTTCACACGAGTTCATTAGTGATTCAATAACCTGCTCGTAGCCTTCGTGCAAGTACAGCAAACCAGAGGCGACGCCCTTGATGATTCTGAATCTCTGTTCCCAACTCAGAACCGATTCCGGCTCGTCGAAAATGTAGCTATCCAAGCTCCCATTAGCCATAAATTCATAAACCAGAAGCAGATCCCCACGGCGGCGACACCATCCCAGCAACTGAACCAAGTTCCGGTGTCGAAGCCGGCCAATGCTAGCGATTTCCGACACAAATTCCCTCAGGCCCTGTTTCGATTCGTGAGAGATTCGCTTCACAGCCACTACGGTTTTCGATTTCCGCAAAGTCCCTTTATAAACTTTCCCAAACCCACCGCGCCCTAGAAGCTCTTTGTCCCTAAATCGTTTAGTCGCCTGCTTGAGCTCCTTGTAAGAGTACCGATGAGGGCCGATTTCAAGCTCCCAGGCCTCGATTATGTCCGCGTTTTTTATCTTCCATACGATAAAAACAGCAACGCCAATCGCAATTGCTACAATCAAAACGGCCCCAACAGAAACCCCAAATGTAAAGGCAGTGTGCTTCTTCTTCGGACCAGGAACAGAAGGCAAAGAAGAAAGATCCAGGGATTGGGCTGGTCCATTCATACTGAAACTCCATCCCAACACATAGTGAGAGCTTGCAAGAAGCCCAGTCGAGGCGGAGAACCCAACATACATAAACTCGTGAAGAATCGGAGAGAGATCTACATTAAACGACAGAATCGGCTTCTTGGGTTTAGTGGAGAACGGAGAAAGCGCCACCGTCAGGGAATTTACAGCGGAATTGTAATCGATCCAAGCTTGAATCGGCCTCCCACTTTTTAGGGTCAGGTTTTGCTTGGTGGGTCCATCATCAACGAAATAGGAAGCGGTGGTGGAGGCATTAGAGACCATATTGTTGAGATTAATTCCGACGTGGTTGTCGTTGATGTCGCCGAACTCGAAATCCTGAACGGTGTCAAACTCCACGGCGAAGAGATGGTTCGAGAAGTTTCCAACGTCAGTCGCATTGAGAAGGCCCAAATACTGACTGGGAAGTCCACGGAGGTTCTTCGACTGCGCAATGGTGAAGGCGAGGCCATGGCCGCCGAGGGTCGGGTACTCGGGGACGACGGCGATGGCAAAAGCGGTGGAGAACGAAAAAGCTTTGCCGTCGGAGGAGTTTTTGAAGCGAACAGGGGAACTGTAAAAGGCATGACCCTGTAATCGACTGGTGTCGTTCGTGAGCTTTAAGATTCCGTTCTGCTCGATCTTGGCGATGTCAGTGAGGGTTAAGTTGGCAGCAACGGCGGCGGAGTCGTGGAATCCGGCGAAGTAGAGCTGCTGAGATGCGGCGGGGCCGGCGAAAAAGAGGAAGAAGAAGAAGAAACAGAGAAAACAGAGTTGGGCCATGGGGAAATGAAAGGATTGAGATCTAGAAGGTTATGTTGTGAATGTTGAAGAAATCTGGTCGGATGGGAGGATGAGAAGCGGCATAGTGAGCGGATTTCGTTGAATTGAAGAACAGAGAAAAAAGAGAGATGAGAGAGAAAGAAGAGAGAGGAGTGATAATGACAATTGTGAAGTGGAAAAGTGAGGAAGCAGCAAAAGGAAAGGTTCATGTCAATTCACAGTTCACATGAGGAATGAAGATGACAATATGTAGCCTATTTGCCAAGTTGGCCGCTCCAAAGCTGTTTTATCATCTCCAACAGCTCAAATCTACGGCGGATAGGCATTGTCTGTTCGTTACCTGTTGTCATTAGCCTTACAATTTTTAAAACGTGTTCATTGGAGAGATGTTTCCACTCCCTCACGATAAATGTTTTGTTTTTCTCTTCAACGATATGAGATCTTACCGTATAATTGACGACAATCATTTCATTAATACGTAAGTTTTAGGATGATGCCAAAAAACAAAATCATTTTGTAAATATATAAAATTTGATTGAATAAGACACATTATTATTTTAAAAATAAACTAAACGTACGGTTTTTAGGCAACACGTTAGGTGAATTTTAGGCATTAAGGCACCATGTATCCAAAGTAACGTCTATATCATAAAATTTGTATGTATATATATATAAAGGAAATTTTGGTAATGGACCTCTCCCTATAGGAAGGGGCATTGACTATAGCAGCCAAGCTTTCATTGTCAACCTTTTTTTACATTTTGCCTTCATATTTTCAAACCTGATTCAACCCTCCTAGACTTAGGACAAGGAGGTCCAAAAATTCTTCCAAGCCCCACCCATTTCGTGAATTCAATGCTTAATTCTAATTTTAATTATTATAATTCAATTTCAAACACTTGTGTGGATGGAAAATAAAAAATAATTTTGAATGTTTAAACTTTAAGGATATCTATAAAAAAAAAAAAAAAAACATCGTTCTTCGTTTAATTCTTATGTTGTATTTAAATTCAAGTTTGGGATTTGTTGTTTAATTTAATTGAATTTAAATCAAGGCAATCAATAATAGTGGGCAGTGGCACATTAATTTATAATTATTTTTACATGCTTTTAAAATGCCATCATTCTTATTTTTGCCTTTTTCTTTTTGTTATTAAATGGATTCTTTCTCCACTTAGTTCATATTAATAATAACACTGAAAAGCAGGCAGCTAACTAATAACTACCCCTTTTATTACACATGTCGTGTTGGCCGTTGGGACATTTTAATTACCCTATTGTTCTAATTTATTATATCTACCATTAATAATTAATTATAAAATCAGAGCCCTAATAACAAAATTAAAAGCTTATAATTTATTAGATTTTCCCCTTTTATTATTTTTTTTATCTAATAGAATATATTACTAAATTAGAAAATATTGAATAAAGATGTATTATTATATACAAAATTAAAATTTTAAGATTCTACATAAAATATTTATTATTAAATTTTTTGAATTGCAATATATTTATCCACAAGCGTTGTGGATTAAAATAATTTGATGGTATGCTTAATTACCTCTTAGAGGTGTGTGGTTTTGTTATGGCGGCGTCACACTTTCAAATTGATTGCAGCCTCTAATACGAACTTGCATCAATCCATTTATTGTGTTGTTATCATGGACGACATCACAGCATTGTCTTCGTGGTGCCTGAGGAACACAAATTTAAAAAATTTATGAATATTAATCAATTATTAATTACATCATATAATATTCCAACACGCCTACCAAATTTGTTTACCTGCCTCCACAGACGGCGGTCGAACTCCGGCGCCGACACGTTGAAATACTCAACCGACAGTGCAGAGGCGTAATCCGGCTGCGTACACTCATTAGTATTATTCTCCACGTATTTCCGGTACCTGGTCAACGTCCGCCATCTGCGGCCGCCAAATCTCTCCGCCGTATCCAAGAAATAAAGAATGGGCCTTTCACACGGGTTGGAACTTACGGGTCGGGTATCGAAAGTGAAGGACTCATTGGCTTCTGTCTTCCATGTTTGGAACGTGAGAAAGGGCGTGTCCAGCTCCTTGGCTGTGGCCAGCCATGGATATAACTGAACACTGTAACCCCACGACACCGAAACGGACCAGTTACGAGCCATGTCGTAGCAGAAGCTGTGCTGAAGGGCTCGACCTGGGTCCGTTTTGTAAGCAGTGTGGAGCTTCTTGATCGAGTCGGGTCGGGTCATGGCTGGAAATATGGCCTCTAGGTAATCCAGGTGGTGGAGCGAGACCAAGGGCGCCACTGGATGTGCAGCTAATATACCATATATGCTTCCTCGAATATCCACCTGTTAATTCAACCCATTTATTGAAATAATATAAATCAACATATTTTTGGGCGTAATTAATTGAGTACAAAAATGGGCCTACTTCCCATAATTTTTTTGTCGTTTTTTGAAAAATAACGAACCTGGTGGAATCCAAGTTCTTTGGTCAACGGAACGCCGATCTGGCTGATGCAGCCCTGGATTTTCTGATCGGAGCCGTACATGTCAGCATAACGGTTGATGCAGCCGTCTAGAATTTTAACGAGCACCGCCGCGAGAGGGTAGCTAATGGCGAATCCGGCGCCGCCGTAGGCCATGGCGTAAGAATGAACTTCATCTTGTTCTACGCTCTCAGAATTACTGCCGATATAATACATTTGATTATGATCGTATTTGCCCAACAAATCGACCAAATTCTCGGTGAAGAAGACTGTATCATCGTCCCCCATCACGAACCACCTCACATTCTTCAACCCCAATTTGTAAGTCTCCTTAATTATCCTAGCCACCCGAATCGCCGACCGAAAACCGTACCTGTTAAGTATCAAATGTTGAGAATTGTTGAAGGAGAGCCTCTTATCGAATTTATAAATGGATGATCATAGGTTTATGGATTTATAAGTAAAAGAACTACCATTACTATTTTCATAAAATAAAAAACAAAATATTTAAAAACTTTCTCATTTTTTACGTGAGAATGGCCAAACAATTGAAAATGGTAAGAATATAAATAAATAAATTATTAAATAACTCCAATTTGTTTAAATTTGAACTTATTTTTTATTTTAAGTTGTGTTGTAAGGTCAAATGTTTCCATCTCTATCCTCGTCCAATCAAGTTAGAAATAGTGATTAATTGAATATTAATTTAGATGGTACCAGCAAGTGTAGTTGAATTGGGAGGTGTCGTCGGAGATACGGTAGGGCGGAGAGGATTGTGGCCAGGGAAATTCAGGCTTCTCTTCAAGCCAAACAAACCCACGAGTGACATTCTTGTTCCACCACAGCTCGCAGTAATGGCGTCGCTCGTTCCACGTCTTGACAGAGCCACCAATGCCGAACACAAGATGGGAAATGTTCGTCGGTTGTTCTCCGGCACCGAAAGCCTTCACTTCCCGGTGGTTTGAGATTCGGAGTGCACCGTAACAGCCGTGACAACGGGGGATTTTGTCGTATAAGGTGAGGTAAATGAAGAGAGAAAAAGAGGCTACGATGGAGATGACAAGAAAGGTTCTAACGAAAAGAGCGAAGACATCAGCTGGCCGGAACACCATAAATTTGAAAGCTTTTAATGAATTCTGAGTGGACATTCTGTTCATTCCTTTGAATTCAGAATGAAAAGACAAGAAATTCATTAAAAGGGACAGAATTTTGGGGATAATGGGTATGAAATTGTAACGTGACTGCGCGTTCTGTTCATGTTCGTGGCACGTTCATATAGAAAAAGGTTTGATTTTTTTTCTTTTTCTATAATGTATTTAAAAAAATGAATGCGTTGCCAGAAAAATTAAATTGCTTCGTCTTTGTCTAGATGGTAAATGACTTTTTAATATGGTAATATATCCTCCAAATTTGTTTTACCAAAAATTAAAATTTGTAATTTTGTTCTAAGTTTCCATAAAAACAATTCTTTTCCATGTTCTACTTGAATTATGTGATTATTTTATTTTGTTTTTAAAAATAAAATTTTTGAGAGCATTCCTAAATAGAAAGTTTCAGATACTAAATTAAGAATCTAACCGCCTAAATCCACCGAATATTATTCTCAATTTTAGTCCATTAGGTGTCACTGTCATCTCATGGTTTTAAAATGCTCGGGAAGGTTTTCACACTTTTTATAAGGAATACTTCGTTCCCCTCTCCATCTGACGTGGGATCTCATAATCCACCCCCTACGGGTCTAGCATCTTCGCTGGCATACTGTTCAGTTTCTGGCTCTAATACCATTTATAATAGTCCAATCTCACAATCCACTCATATTGGGGGCTCAACCTCCTCGATGGCACACCACACTATGTCTAGCTCTAATACCATTTGTAAGATCTCACAAAGGGTGGAAACTCTCCTTGGTGGACGTGTTTTAAAATCGTGAGGCTGACGATGATATGTAACGAGCCGAAATTGATAATATTTGCTAGTGGTAGGCTTGGATTGTTACAAATGATATCATAGTCATACACCAAGCAGTGTGCCAACGAGGATCCTGGCCCACAAAGGGGTGAATTGCGTGATCTCATATTAGTTAGAGAGGGAAACGAAGCATTCCTTATAAGAATGCTTGGATTGTTAAAACGAAGCATTTCTTTTAAAATCTTGAAAGATAGTCTAAAAAAGACAATATTTACTAGCAGTACACTTAAGACTCTTATGTCCTACAGAATTTTTTACTATATCTTTTGTTCGACATTAGAACTATATTAAATATGATTAGGATTCACATTATTACAAACAAAATTAATACAAGTGGAAAATCTTATGGATTATAGGTAATGATTTATTAGATAAGTGGTGGGTGATAATAAGATGAGATTCAATAGCCATTAATACATAGTTGGACTGGGTCGTAGCCCCTACCATTGGGGAGGGGTCACCGTCTCAAAGGGATTGCAGCCTCTCGTCCATACATTCACCACATTATCCATACTCGTACCATTCACCACTTGGCAACATTGTCTACGTGGGGCCTGCCAATACAATATATATATATATATTCAAACTTAGATTATTTGGTAATAAACTATATACTAAAATGAATTCAGCTATATTCCAATTAAAACATGAATTTATATTAATATTTTTAGATAGTTTAGAGTTATTTTATATTAATATCTTGACTCCCTAGTCTTTCCCTTACCTTAATCCAGTGGGAAGCGCTGAAAGGTCCGAAAGTCACCACGCGGAAACGCTCCACTTTCTGGGCTAATTGGAATTCGTCTCTGCCACACTCTTTTTCCCAAACGTCCAATTGCCTCTTGTAACTGGTTACCGTCCGGTTCGGGGATTCCGCCAGGTCCAAGAAGAACAGAATCGGCATCTGGCAAGGGTCCGACTGGACCGGGCGGGTGTTGAAAGTGAACGGGCCGTCGCTCCAGCTCTTCCACGTCTCAAAAGTCTGAAAACTCTTCTCCAAGTCTTTGGGTGTGGCGAGCCATGGGTAGAGCTGGACGGTGTAGCCCCATGAGACCGAAATGGACCAATTACGGGCCGGGTCGTAACAGAAGCTTTGCTGAAGGGTCCGACCAGGGTCGAGGTTGTAGGCTGTTTTTAAAGCCTTTAAGGCGTCGATTTGGATCATGGTTGGAAAAATGGGTGGAAGGTAGTCCACGTGGTGGAGTGATACCAATGGAGCCACTGGGTGCGCTGCCAATAACCCATATTGGCTTCCTCTAATATCCACCTGGAAATCGTTGCATTCATTTTATATTTTTCTAAATTTCCCCAAACAAGACTTGTATCTTAAATCTATTTAAAATTTGACTAATTCAAAATTGGAAAATATAATGAATTTAAAAAAATATATAAATTATATGGACAGAGAAAAGACTCACTTGGTGGAAGCCAGACTCTTTAGTCAAGGGGACACCAATTTCGGTAACGCAGGCCTGGACTTTCTGGTCTCCACCGTAGAGACTGGCGTACCGATCAAGACAACCGTCCAAAATCCTCACCAGCTCCACCGCCAGTGCATAACTAATCGCATATCCGCCGCCGCCGTAAGCCGTGCCATACAAATGGATGACGTTTTGCTCGACGCTCTCGGAGTTAGAGCCGATGTAATACATCTGATTGTGATCATATTTACCCAAAACAGTCACCAAATTCTCCACAAAGAAAACGGTGTCGTCGTCGCCCATCACAAACCACCGCACGTTCTCCACTCCCAATTCGAAGCTCTCCTTCACGATCCTGGCCAGCCTTACTGCCGACCTGGACCCATACCAGCAGGTGTAGCTGAATTCCGACGTGTCCGCTGAAACTCTATACGGAGGAGACGTGGCTGGCCACGTGGCGTTGGGCTTCTCGTCCACCCAGACGAACCCACGGGTGACGTTAGGCATCCACCAGAGCTCGCAGTAGCTTTGACGCTTTTTCCATGTCTTGGTGGACCCCGCTATGCCAAATAGAAGGTGGGATACGTTCGTCGGTGGTTGCGATTGCGATGACTCGACGGCGATTATTTTCCGGCGGTGGCAGTTGGTACAGTTGGGTGGTTTCTGGTTGAAGGAAAAGAGGAGGGAAAGGAATGCTATGGAGCACAAAACAAGTGAGATTTTGAAGAATTTACCAGATTTTACTGAATTCTGACTCCGAACCTTCATCGTGTCTTCCAAAAATGAAATAATTGCCTTCCTATTTGTAATTTATTATTTATTATTATTGGGCCCTTATGTCTAAGGATAGCTATTGGGCCGTAAATTAGCTTAAAGGCCCAATAATTACCATTAGACGTAAGAGCTTCATCCAATTACAAAGCAGCTGTCCATTTTTAGAGGCCTTTAAGCAAACTATTGGGCCGTAAATTCTTTTATGGGCCTTTCAGAGTTGAAACTCTAGCCCATGACCCATAAGTTTTGACGGTCGAATTTTGGTTCAATTTAAAGGGAAATTTCATATATACCCTTATCATTATAAGTATTTAAAAAATATCCTTTAGATGAAGCGTAATGTGGTGAAGTCCAAGATAAAACTATTATCTATTTCATAGATATTAAATTCATGAACCAAATCTTGAAGACAATTCATAACAATATCCTCTACTTATTGATTTAGGTTGAGTTGTAAAGTTGTAAGTAAAAGGATGGATAATACATAGTATAGAGGATTGAAATGATTAGGAATATAGCAGGTATCATGAATGATGATTCCATGTATAGTAAAATATAGTTTGGAATAAATTATATAGCCATTGAGGACAGAAAAGAGACAGGAAAGTTGGAATGATGTTATGTCGTATTCCCATGATATATTGGAACACAAAAGGAGTAAGAAACGACATGAAAGGCCCATGTGCTCCACTGCTCCTCAGCTCTCTCTCTTTCTCTCTTTTCATATCCATTAATAATACCTTACAAACCCTAAAACCATTCACATTCTCTCCTCCATCCTTCTGTATTCCCTCTTTAGCAAATATTTCCCGCTGTCTCTGCTTGGCTGTGCACAGAAACAAAAGAGACCCCCGTCGTCAAGTCAAGGGCCCTCCAGGGAGCCATTAACGCATCCCTTCAATCCCTTCCCTTTAATGGTCATAGCAATGCAAATTTGTTGTTTTGTTTCGATGTGGGTTTTGAGAAATCTAAACCCTTTTCAGTTCTCAATTTCTGCTGTCCCCTTTTTAATGCATTGTTCCATCACCCTTCTCTCCTTTTGACAAACCAACATGCTGTTATTAATACCCATCAATTTCCCCCCTTTCTGTCCTCCACCATTTCCTACCCGCCCCCTGCTCTTGTACTCTTTCTTTTATTCCTTCACAATATCATAACTACGTTCATTCCTTTACAATATCAAGTACGTACGGCTCAATATTTGGATTTACTACTTTTTCATCATTTTTTATTTTTTATTTTTTATTTTTTATTTTTTATTTTTAATTACAGATTCATACTTGTGAGCTTTTACCTGGGGTTGTATTATTTGAGATTTATTTTCTAAAGCAAGTCATTTTTGTTGTTGAAATTCATTCATGGATACTAATTTACCCTAGATGCTAAAAAAGACATGACATGGTTGAGAGTTTATGCTTGTGAATCATCCAAATTCATCACATCTAGGGTTTAGGTTAGTGGGATCTCATCTACGGCTCAGATCTTTTCATTTTTGTTTGGGTTTACCCTTCTTGGATCAAGATTTTCTTTTTTCTTTTTAGGATATCATCCATTCTAATACCATATTAGATAATACACCAGGCTTGCTTGATTGCAATATTAGTTGACAATGAGAAGAGTAACTCGTGTAGGTTAGAAAGATTGTGAGGCATCGAGAGACAAAGGTGCTTGCACACTTCGTTTTCAATCCTTTAGTTAGGGTTTACGTTACAATTCCCTACGTCTTGTGTGAAGTTAGCAATAATGTGAGCCTTATCTAATTAGTTCAGCTTTCAACAAATCCAGGCCAATGAACGAGTTAGATAGCTAGTTGGTGTTTTTTTTTTTCCTCGTTATTTCCTCTCCAATGAAAATTATTTGCTTTCTTTGATGGAATTCGTGATACTTAATCATGGTTGGAGTCATTTTTAGGATTTAGGATAAGTTTATGAACTCTAATACCACATTAGATAATACACGAACTAGCTTCTAACTCAAAATCAATTCAGCCCATATATTTTAACCTCATGAACAAAGATTGTGGTGGTAACCTAATAGAAAGGAGAAAAGTGGCATGCAGATAATTATTAATTTATCTCAGTATTTACCCTGCAAAGTTGAATTCTCATACAAGATGTGCATTTTGATCCTGAATAATAATATAAGAAGGATCGAATTCTCATATGTTTTGAGTGAAGTTAGAGATGATTGTATTGAATCTTTCCTGATTTGTTTATTGTTACAATGGTCTAAAAGATTCATTCCAAATCTTTGTTACACATACTGAAAAATTAAGAGGTTCACTAGCTCAAACCAAGAATAATTCAAACAAACACAAACCCAGATGAGAAATTCAATCATGGAATTTGCTCACTAAGCTTTGAGAAAATGGGATTTTGATTTTACTCAAACCCCACCAAGCCTGAGTTCAAGATCCAAATCATGGAAGGGGCTAGAGCTAACTCCAATTACCTCTGATTCAATAGGATCACCACGACGACGACGATGGTGATGATTCTCTACCGAATTATTTGACTTCACATACAATTGTATCGACGACGTTTCATCGTCCGTCTTCCTCTTCTTGCAACTGGTATCCGTCCCCGCTTCCTCCCGACCACCGTCATCGTCAAACAAACCCGATGCTGGCCAAGGTGGTCCGAAACTGAAATTCAACCCGTCGTCCAAAATCCCTATTCCAACGTGATCATTGTCTCTAACCCTAGAGCAAGAATTTGTCAAATTCTCATCTTTCCCCGCCTTTGAAGTTAGTCGGTTCGGGGGCGGTGGATGGACCAAATAGGGTTTAGGAGTAGGAAGATGATAAGAAAAAGTAGAAGAAGAAGGGGATTGGAAGGGGAAGGAATTAGTGAAAGGGTTGTGATTGGGAGTATTTGGGGATTGCTTCAGTCTAGCCCTATCTCGTCTGTGGACGTTCATGTGGCCGCCCAAGGCTTGAGCTGAACGGAACTCTCTTCTACAAAAGGAGCAAGAATAAGAGCGCGGCGGCCAAACGCAGCCTCCGAGGCCGCCAGCAGCATCTTCAGCAAAAGCTTGCTCTTCCCATGAGAAGGGGTCCTCATATCCAAAGGGGGTTTTGGTTTTGGTTTTGGAAGATTGAGAATCCACAGAATCATCACAATCATGTGTTTGTCTCTCCTCTTGTTGCTTCCTCCACATCCAATACAATCTGTGGGTTTACAACTCAGAAACCGGTTCAGAATTTGGAATCCAAGAAAAAGGGTTTGGTATTAAAGATCATAAATAAATAAATAAATAAATAAATAAATAAATAAATAAATGGGAATCTTTCAGATAGAGAGAGAAAGAGACGAGATGGGATAGCTACACAACAACTACAAAATGGCTCACAAAAACACTGCGACCTCATCTCTTGGTGCAGGCTAATTATATGAAACCAATTTCTTTTTATTTTCTTTTCTTTATTTTCTTGCTTCATTTCGTTAAATACCAAAATTGTTCGCAAGAATTTCTTTTTTTTTTTAATGCTTTTTAATGAATTTCATGATGTAATATTTTTTGTTTCACTAACATTTGGTAAGTATAAATAAAATATAATTAATTAGCTTTATTAATCCAACATTATGAAATTGAATAAGTGAAGTATAAGGAGTGTTAGACGAACACGACTCTCCACAATGGTATGATATTGCCCACCTTCAACATAAGCTCTCATGACTTTGCTTTGGGCTTCCCCAAAAGTACCAATAGAGAGGTTTTTTTTGTGTTGGGTTTTTGGCAATTTTCAAAATGAGTAGAAACACAGGTCCTTATACAAACTATAAGGTATGGAGAATTCTTGCTTTAATTGGACCAACAAAATATGAACCATTATGTTTCCTACATTTACTCATATATTAATTAGCATCCAATATTTGGTTTTAAATCACTGAATTGCAACGTAATGGTTTTCTTAACACAAAATCAACCTTCACAATTATCTTAAATACTTAAATAGTTAGTCATTTGAAATTAATCATTTTTTTTTCTAATTCAATAAGATCTTGAATTATAGATTATTTAATGATAATTTGTGAAAAAAAAAATATCTTAAATAATTAATTATACATATTATATTTATAAAAAAAAAAAAAACAAATCAAATATAATCAAAGATCTTGAATTAAGAACGCGTTATGCACTGTATGGGCTTTTTAGGATCTTTGAGGCCCAGCCCAAAAAAGTAAATCGAGCCGTGGATTGTGGGCTTTTTAGGATCTTCGAGGCCCAGCCCAAAAACCGACCACAGGGGGATAGAAGCCCATAACATGGGAAAATATGTTTTTTTTTTCATTTAATATTTTTAAAAATAAATACATCAAAGTCGAAAAAGAAAAAAAAAAACATCAAATGATATAAAATAAGAGATTTGACATGCAACTAGCATGTCGCCATGGACAGTAAGATTTGAACAACACACTCATATAGTACCCTCGTGGAAGGAAGAAGGAGGACGACATAAATTGTGAGAATCTTTATCTCTCCATATTTTAATATTATCTTTTCAATCTCTTCAAATATTCATTTCATTCTTCAATTCGGTGCAGATGAATTCCCCGATTCAAAGATGGTCTCTCAATGGCTTCACCGCCCTCGTCACCGGCGGAACCCGAGGCATTGGGTCGGCCTCTAATCATTATCAATCCCACTTCTCATATCATTCATCTATTTATGTTCTTACTTGTTTTGTTTTATTTTGTTTTCAGATACGCCATAGTTGAAGAGCTTGCTTCACTTGGGGCTGCCGTACACACCTGTTCGCGTAACCAAACAGAGCTGGACCAAAGGGTAAAAGAATGGGAGCGAAAGGGGTTCGAAGTCAGTGGCTCTGTTTGTGATCTCTCTTCAAGATCTCAGCGACAGCAGCTCATTACCACTGTCTCTTCCATCTTCAATGGAAAGCTCAACATTCTCGTAATTCTCTCTCTCATTTATTTTCTTTACAAACCCAAAATGCTCTAATTCTGAAAATGGGTGGTTGGTTTTAAGGTGAA